CTGACGAAGACTGACATGACTCCACTCATCTTCTGGGATGGTGCCGATGGCTATCATTTCAATGTGAGGATGGTAAATCCAGTCAATGGTGTAGAAACGAATAAAAAGTGCAGCGCAATGAACTTTTACTCATACCGATTAATGGTTCGGAGGACCGATGACAATCATATATTGAAATGTCGTCAATTGTTTCATCAGAACATTGTCGATATGTATGCAAAAATTGAAACAGAACGTTTGCTGTTCCTCCGATTGAATCAGACGAAACTTCGGTCCGAGGAATATTGGCGGGATACTGTGATGATTGACAGTAATACAACCAACTTTGGAAAGCTCACGATTTTGCCATCCTCATAAATAGGTGGTCCACGCCACATGCAGGAATATGCTCAAGATGCCATGGCATTGCTCGTTGCTACGGCCGTCCAGACTTATTTATCACGAGATAGCTTGGGACGAGATAGTGCAGCTGTTATTTCCTGGACAATCGTCTACGGATAGGCATGACATCATGCCACATGCGCACATACTGATCTGGAAATCGACGATGTGATATGCGCTGAGATTCCACGGGCCGAGGTTGATACGGATTTGCATGCAGTTGTCATCAAGAACATGATCCATGACCCATGTGGTACCCTCAACCCAACTTCACCATGCATGGTAGACGGGAAGTGTTCCAAGCGATATCCTCGAGCATTTGCAGCCAACACCGTAACAGGGAACGATGGATATCCTCTGTATAGGAAACGTTCAACTGAAGATGTCGGGACTTCGGCAACTTTAAACATGAGAATTGCTGATATTGAGGTGGACAATCGTTGGGTGGTTCCATACTCACCCCTATTGTCAAAATCATACAAAGCGCACATCAACGTAGAATATTGCAATTCCATGAAATCGATTAAATATATCTGTAAGTACGTGAATAAAGGCAGCGAGTACGAGTTGTCGATGAAATCTCTCAATACCAGGCTGGAAGATACATAAGCAGCAACGAGGCTGCATGGCGAATTTTTTCGTTCCCCATTCATGAACGCTATCCAGCTGTAGTTCAGTCCATTTGGAGAAGGGTCAACGTGTCTATTTCACCGAACGAAATGTACAAGAAAGAGTCCTGAATCCGCCTGCGACAACTCTGACTGCCTTCTTCACCTTATCCCAGGAAGCTGCTTTTGCCAGAACCTTGATGTATTCAGAAGTGCCCTCTTATTACACGTCGAATGCCACTAAAAAAGTGTTCCCGCGACGCAAACGAGGCGAGCCCGTCGAAGGACAACCTGGCATCTTCAAAGAGAATACAATCGGTAGACTTTATACAGTGCATCATAATCAAGATAAATGTTTTTTCCTTCGCATGCTGTTGGTGAATGTGGCCGGTCCCAGGTCTTACCAGTATTTTAAAAATCTCAACGGCATCACACATGCTACCTTCCGCAGTGCGTGCCACGCCTTAAATTTGTTAGAGAACGACCAACAGTGGGATATCTGCATTCATGATGCGTGCAACACGGCACATCCGCACCAAATTCGCCGGTTGCAATTTGTTTGCAATCATATTGACTGCTTGCTTCCCTTCATCTCCAACAGAGTTATGGGAAAGATACCGTTCGCATATGGCGGAGGATATTTTGCACAGAGTACGTCTAGAAAATTCTGACATGACCATGGAATTGACAGAAGTAATTTTCAATGAAACTTTGATAAGGATTGAAGACAAGTGCTCAGCTATTGCAAATAAAGTGCAAAGTCAATTGGGAATGCTAACACCTGCCCGAACTGCGACTTCAGCATTTGATGTGGATTTGCGCCGTGAGCAGAATTACAACCGTCATGATCTCCAGTCATATGTCCAATCCAACATTACGAAATTAAACCACGAACAAAGAATGGTTTATGATCATGTCATGCAAAAGAGAAATAGTGGGGCTGGGGGCATCTTCTTTTTGGATGCTCCAGGAGGAATGGGGAAAACATTCCTCATATTGATCCTGGCTACGGTTCGAGCTAACAAGGATATAGCCTTAGCTCTTGCTTCATCTGGAATCGCTGCGACATTGTTACCTAGTGGGACGTCTGCTCATTCAGCGCTGAAGTTGCCATTGAACGTGCAAATCATCGAGACTCCTACGTGCAATATTTCCACAGCATCTGGCATGGGAAAAGTATTGCAATGATGTAAACTCTTTGTTTGGAATGAATGCACGATGTCACAAAAAAAAAATCGCTGGAGGCTCTCGATCGATCATTGCGGGATTTGCGGGATTTGCGTGGAGCACTCCAACCATTTGGGAATGCGTTAATATTGCTCGCAGGGGATTTCAGACAAACGTTGCCTGTGATTTCCCGATCGACACCAGCTGACGAGATAAATGCTTGCCTGAAATATTCCATATTGTGGCAAAGATTATAAAGTACATAGATGGGACATCAGGGCCCAAAACGGTCAACTTTTTGCGTCGAGCTTGTTGGTGAGGGGGGAACGCATATGCATACGATTCTATTTTTAGAACTCTTTACATGTATCCGTCAACTACAATGTGATCTTTTGTATGTATGTGTGACTGCTCTCACGACGGCGTAAAAAGGTTTTGGCTTCCAAATTTCAATTTCAATTTCTCGTTTCTGTTTTCAATGCGCCGATGTGGTAGTTACAACAAATAGCAGAACAAATAGTATTTTTAATCGCCGCAGATCGAGACAGGACGGTAGCGTAATGCATAGAGTAGTTACTCTATGTGTAATTTTTCTGTGTTCAAATTTTCGTAAGGACTTTGAACTTTTTCTTTCTTTTATAATTATTACAGTTTTTTTTTCTTTAATTGTAATATTTTTCTTTAATTTTACAATTGTAAAATTGTTTTATTCTTCCTTATGTCCCGCTAATAAAATTTCAAGGGAGTCCTTCCGGCATTTTGTCATCCGACACGTCCGTCACTTATTTTTACAATAATTGTAATAGAATGCAGTTAAAAATAATAATAATAACGTAAAAAGTAAAAGGGAAAAAAAAAAAAACGTAAACATGTATAAAAAGAATCAAAACTAAAAACTTTATCAAAATTGGAAAAACCGCCCGCTAATGTAATCGAACCCAGGACCTCTTGAATAAGGACCGCGCACTATCCATCTAGGCTACCCTCGAAGTTGATTTTATGATACTTAAAAATGGTGTTAAAGGAGGCGCTAGAATCTATAGCAAAAACAGAGTTGACGAGTAAGGATAGTAAAAGATATTTCTGATCTCTTTACTCTTACATTGGTTTGATTACAACGTTTCAAACTTTCATCGTTCAATTCTCTCTTTCCATCTCTCATCTGCCAGCCGTTTGTCGTGGAACCCGCTCTCAAATCTTTTCATTATTACAGCGGGTTCCACGACGGAAAAAATGAAAACATTTGAGAGCGGGTTCCACGACGCGGCCTGCCAAAATGCCGTAGAACCCGCACTTATAGACATTTTTACAGCGGGTTCCACTAAGAACTGAGACGATGTTAAGGTTATTTTAAAATTTTGTATTTTTTTTATTGGATTATAAATTTAGAAAAATACATTAAAATAATAAAAATATAATATAAGTAGATTTAAAATTAAAAAAAAATATATGTCCCGAGCCTGGTTTGAACTCGTTTTACTTTGCACACCAGCCAAGCACTCTACCACTCGGCTATTCCTCATTCGTTGTCGCGCGAAAAATTTCTCAAACTTAACTTGTCGCGCAATGGAACCCGCTCGTTCCAGCGGGTTCCACTGATGGAACCCGCCATAGAAAATTTTTCTTTGTATGAGATGTCCCATCTATGTATGTACTTTATAATTTTTGATTGTGGCAACATGTACGTACATTACAGTGAAGACAGTTATGCGTGTCCAGTTACAGAGCGATGACTCAGCCGACTTATTCTCACGACAGCTACTGGACATTGGGAACGGAAAGCTGCCAGTCAATGAGACATCGAGAAAAATAGCATTGCCCGAATGTCTGTAATTTAGTTACATCGAAAGAAGGACTTATCCAAAAAGTGTTCCCCGATATCCGAATAAATTATAGGAATCACGGTTGGCTCAGTGGACGAGCGATTCCTCGCTGCCAAGAACAAAGATGTCTACCAGCTCAATCATGTAATCACATCCAGTATAGAAACTGACGAAATTACATATAAGTCGATAGACACGGTTGTGGAGGCAGAGGAAGCAGTTATTACCCTATTACCGTAGGGTATTAATTACCCTACGGAGTTTCTAAACTCACTTGATCTGCCTGGAATGCCACCACACATATTGAAATTAAAACTAGGTGTGCCGATTATCATGCTCCGGAATATGAATCAGCCGAAACTCTGCAACGGTACGCAACTCGCAATCACGAAATTGATGAATAACGTTGTAGGAGCAACGATCATAAGTGGTTCTTTTAAAGGTGAAGATGTCCTCATTCCTACGATTCCTATGTTTCCGACTGATACCCCGTTCCACTTCAAAAGATTGCCGTTTCCCATTCGTTTGGCTTTCGTAATGACCATAAATAAAGCTCAAGGTCAATCTCTGGAGTTGTGTGGTTTGGATTTGGATGAAGATTGTTTTTCACACGGACAATTATATGTTGCGTGTTTCCGTGTTGGAAAACCAAATAATCTTTATATTTACGCGGAGAATGAAGCAACAAAGAATATTGTATACCCACAAGTATTACAGAATTAAATTAATTTGAAAATTATTTTTTTTTGTTTGACTTATTTCTTATGCGTGCAACCACAATATGCCACAGCGAAACGTGGCAGGGTATAGGTAGTAGATGTATAAGAATATTTGTATATATTTTAGAGTGTCGGAGATCACAGCGTTGCATACATTCGACCCAAATTATAGTACTATCTTCTATCTTTTATCTGCTAAATTGTACTGCTTACATATTTTTACAAATTTATTTTAAGCAATTCATATATTTAAAGATTACCATTTTTCTTTACTATTTTCTAATTTTTTTTTATTTAAATAGGATTTCTGGAAATGAAGCTAGTAACAAAAATATTCATGGAACTGTTTCGGAGCAATTAAAAAAGAACTTTGCGAAATCTCGTTGGAAGGTAAACGAATTGGGCCTAAAAATAATACAAATTAATTATTTTATATTTTATTTTTTAGCAAGCTTACTACGCGGCAACTGTAATTCGACAAATGCAGAAAATGGCGCTTAGCAGCAACAGCAGTGCGAATTTTGATCCAATCAGTAATATAAGCAGCAACGCTAGCAATAAAAACAAAATAGCATCCGGACCTTCTATTTCGACAACTTCACTAACACATGATTCTGCACAAAGTAGTACAAAAAATATCAGCAGTTCAGCTCGAAGCAATATTAACGGAGCATCAAATTAGCACAAGTTATAATAATTTTTTTTAATTTTTGTGGTCTTAAATACCGTATCTCGTTTTACCATTGGTCTATATATTAGTCTCTAATAAAGCCAATCGGTTCTTTGAACCTAGGGTGATAATCTTTTATTATACCGATTCTCTGTTCCATTTCCTTAAATATATTTAAATACATAAAACTATGGCAAGTACTTAGCTTTTTTATTGACTAGTCTGGGCTTAAAAGATGTTTTATTTGAGTCATACGTAATAATCATATGGGCAGCGTTTAATCAAAAACTATTTTAAGGGCTGCCTAACAAGCAATAATAACGCTGGAGCGGTGCAAATATAAATTTTTCATATTATTGGGTAAATAGATTAAAGAATTTCTTTAAAAAATCATCACCAATTCTTATGTGGATGCACCATAATAACCATTATCTTGTTATACCCTTGCAGGGGTTATTATAATTTTGTCCAAAAGTGTGCAACGCAGTGAAGGAGACATCTCCGACCCTATAAAGTATATATATTCTTGATCAGGATCACCTCCTGAGTTGTTATGAGCATGCCCGTCTGTCCGTCTATAACTGATTGATCGGAAATGGAATAACTTTTGTGTTTGTAGAGTAAGAGAATTCAAATTTGACATGAGAGCTATTTTTGGCGAAACATTACAACATGAAAAAATTTCATAAGGATTGGCCGACTATATCTTATTGCTGCCATACAAGTGAACGATCGGAAATGGCCCAACTTTCGTGTTTTGGAAGATAGAACTTGGTGCAGAGTATATTTTTGGTCAGTGAATTCGACCTACCAAATTTCATAACGATCGGTCGACTATATCTTATAGCTGCCATATAACTGAACGATCGGAAATAGTTTTTTGTAGAAATACCAACTTTTGTATTTTTGAAGATAGAAGCTTGGGACTTTTTTGTAGCTTTATTGTAATAAATTGGTTATATTATGATATTCTCATGAGGATCGAGCAACTTTATCCGATGTGTTCGATATATATCCGGTTTTAACTGCAAGTGATTATCAACTTCGGCCTCGCCCGAAGTTAGCTTTCCTTGTTGCAAGTTAGTGTAGGAAGGAATAGTAGAAATAATGGTTTCAAGTAGGAATAAGCGTATTGTGCTCACAGAGCCAACAGACAGAGTCAAGATCAAATAACGAAAAGAATCTTAACCAAATAAGAACAATGATAGAAAATCTAAATGCGGTCGCAGCCAAAGATGATGTACCCAAGTGGGCAATATTTTATAAAAATATATCGGATGAACAATACCGCAAATATTGGATGTTGTTAACCAATTCTTTTAAGAATTTAATTCATAATAAATTATGAAAAATTGGTATACAAAGTTGCTTTATATCGCAAATATCGGATAAAGTTGATCGATACCTATGAGAATTTCTTAATAAAACCAATTTTAAAACCTATTGTTGGCAAAATAATACGACATACCAAATTTTATAGGGATCGGCGGACTATATTTTATAGCTACAAAATATATAAATAAGTAATGGCACTTCAGAAATATTACAAACCAAACCCAAGCGCTCTTTTCTTTGCAGCTGTTTTTCAATTAACAAACTGTTAAATATTAGGTTGCCTAAATAGTCTTGCGGTATTTTCGCTAGTTGGCGCTGAAAGCGCGTAGTTCTTATTTTATTCGTCGCATTAGGTCATTCTATACCTTTTTGGAAAGCTCATTTCACGCTAACACTTGTGTGATTGATTGTCGTGTTACGTGTTTGTTTTATTATTGTTTGTTCTTAGTCGTTCGTGAGTTATAGCGTCGCAATCATGGAGCAAAATAAAGAAAAAAATACGGCATATTTTACAGTACTACTACGATAGAGGCAAAAATGCATATCAAACCGCCAATAAAATTTGTGCAGTTTATGGACCCGATACAGTTTTCATTTCCACCGCACAACGATGGTTTCAACGTTTTCGTTCTGGTGAAGAGGTGGTCGAAGATGCGCCACGCTCCGGAAGGCCTGTCGTCGAAAGTTGCGATAAAATCGCTGAATTGGTCGAAAGAGACCGGTATAGTAGCAGCCGTAGCACCGGTCATGAGCTGGGCATGAGTCATCAAACCGTTATAAACCATTTGAAGAAGCTTGGAGTTACTAAGAAGCTCGATGAATGGGTGCCACACGAATTGACGCAAAGACATTTTTGACTGTATCGACGCATGCGAATCGCTTCTAAATCGCAACAAAATCGACCCGTTTTTGAAGAGTATGGTGACTGGCGATGAAAATTGGGTCACTTACGATAACGTAAGGCGCAAACGGTCGTGGTCGAAAAGCGGTGAAGCGGCCCAGACGGTGGCCAATCCTGGATTGACGGCCAGGAAGGTTCTTCTGTGTGTTTGGTGGGATTGGCAGAAAATTATTCACTATGAGCGTCTCCCCTATGGCCAAACGCTCAATTCGGACCTGTACTGCCAACAACTAGACCGCTTGAAGACAGCACTCATGCAGAAGAGGCCATCTTTGATCAACCAAGGCCGAATTGTCTTCCACCAGGACAACGCCAGGCCACACACACAAATTTAGTGACGCGCCAGAAGATCCGGGAGCTCGGATGGGAGGTTCTTTTGCATCCACCGTACAGTCCGGATATCGCACCAAGTGATTACCATTTGTTTCTGTCCATGGCGAACGCGCTTGGTGATTACCATTTGTTTCTGTCCATGGCGAACGCGCTTGGTAGTCTGAAGTTGGCCACAAGGGAGTCCTGTGAAAATTGGCTCTCCGAGTTTTTTGCCAATAGGGAAGCCAGCTTCTATAAGAGGGGCATTATGAAGTTGGCATCTCGTTGGGAACGCGTCATCAATCAAAACGGCGCATATTTGACTTGAATCGCATCATTATGCCACGATTCGTTGTGGCAAATTGTGGTTGCACGCATAAGAAATAAGTCAAACAAAAAAAAATAATTTTCAAATTAATTTAATTCTGTAATACTTGTGGGTAAACAATATTCTTTGTTGCTTCATTCTCCGCGTAAATATAAAGATTATTTGGTTTTCCAACACGGAAACACGCAACATATAATTGTCCGTGTGAAAAACAATCTTTATCCAAATCCAAACCACACAACTCCAGAGATTGACCTTGAGCTTTATTTATGGTCATTACGAACGCCAAACGAATGGGAAACGGCAATATTTTGAAGTGGAACGGGGTATCAGTCGGAAACATAGGAATCGTAGGAATGAGGACATCTTCACCTTTAAAAGAACCACTTATGATCGTTGCTCCTACAACGTTATTCATCAATTTCGTGATTGCGAGTTGCGTACCGTTGCAGAGTTTCGGCTGATTCATATTCCGGAGCATGATAATCGGCACACCTAGTTTTAATTTCAATATGTGTGGTGGCATTCCAGGCAGATCAAGTGAGTTTAGAAACTCCGTAGGGTAATTAATACCCTACGGTAATAGGGTAATAACTGCTTCCTCTGCCTCCACAACCGTGTCTATCGACTTATATGTAATTTCGTCAGTTTCTATACTGGATGTGATTACATGATTGAGCTGGTAGACATCTTTGTTCTTGGCAGCGAGGAATCGCTCGTCCACTGAGCCAACCGTGATTCCTATAATTTATTCGGATATCGGGGAACACTTTTTGGATAAGTCCTTCTTTCGATGTAACTAAATTACAGACATTCTCGGGCAATGCTATTTTTCTCGATGTCTCATTGACTGGCAGCTTTCCGTTCCCAATGTCCAGTTGTTGTCGTGAGAATAAGTCGGCTGAGTCATCGCTCTGTAACTGGACACGCATAACTGTCTTCACTGTAATGTACGTACATGTTGCCACAATCAAAAATTATAAAGTACATACATAGATGGGACATCTCATACAAAGAAAAATTTTCTATGGCGGGTTCCATCAGTGGAACCCGCTGGAACGAGCGGGTTCCATTGCGCGACAAGTTAAGTTTGAGAAATTTTTCGCGCGACAACGAATGAGGAATAGCCGAGTGGTAGAGTGCTTGGCTGGTGTGCAAAGTAAAACGAGTTCAAACCAGGCTCGGGACATATATTTTTTTTTAATTTTAAATCTACTTATATTATATTTTTATTATTTTAATGTATTTTTCTAAATTTATAATCCAATAAAAAAAATACAAAATTTTAAAATAACCTTAACATCGTCTCAGTTCTTAGTGGAACCCGCTGTAAAAATGTCTATAAGTGCGGGTTCTACGGCATTTTGGCAGGCCGCGTCGTGGAACCCGCTCTCAAATGTTTTCATTTTTTCCGTCGTGGAACCCGCTGTAATAATGAAAAGATTTGAGAGCGGGTTCCACGACAAACGGCTGGCAGATGAGAGATGGAAAGAGAGAATTCTATTTTTAGATCGTAACATCTTTGGAACGATGAAAGTTTGAAACGTTGTAATCAAACCAATGTAAGAGTAAAGAGATCAGAAATATCTTTTACTATCCTTACTCGTCAACTCTGTTTTTGCTATAGATTCTAGCGCCTCCTTTAACACCATTTTTAAGTATCATAAAATCAACTTCGAGGGTAGCCTAGATGGATAGTGCGCGGTCCTTATTCAAGAGGTCCTGGGTTCGATTACATTAGCGGGCGGTTTTTCCAATTTTGATAAAGTTTTTAGTTTTGATTCTTTTTATACATGTTTACGTTTTTTTTTTTTTTCCCTTTTACTTTTTACGTTATTATTATTATTTTTAACTGCATTCTATTACAATTATTGTAAAAATAAGTGACGGACGTGTCGGATGACAAAATGCCGGAAGGACTCCCTTGAAATTTTATTAGCGGGACATAAGGAAGAATAAAACAATTTTACAATTGTAAAATTAAAGAAAAATATTACAATTAAAGAAAAAAAAACTGTAATAATTATAAAAGAAAGAAAAAGTTCAAAGTCCTTACGAAAATTTGAACACAGAAAAATTACACATAGAGTAACTACTCTATGCATTACGCTACCGTCCTGTCTCGATCTGCGGCGATTAAAAATACTATTTGTTCTGCTATTTGTTGTAACTACCACATCGGCGCATTGAAAACAGAAACGAGAAATTGAAATTGAAATTTGGAAGCCAAAACCTTTTTACGCCGTCGTGAGAGCAGTCACACATACATACAAAAGATCACATTGTAGTTGACGGATACATGTAAAGAGTTCTAAAAATAGAAT